GTATGTATGTATGTATGTATGTATGTATGTATGTATGTATGTATGTACGTATGTATGTGTGTATGTGTATTTGTATATATTTATATTTGTATATGTAAGTGCGTGTGTATGTCGGCGTGTTCCCGAGAGCCGTAAATATAAGTGAAGTTGTCAGTGAATGTAAATTCGATTTGCTTTTAGGCCGTTTTTCAAGGAGGACGGCGCAGAAGGACACTCCCAAAGGCGATCGGTGCCACCTCGGCGAACTTAAATTCCATATTTTCTAATTTCTTCGGCGTAGGAAAAATATACACATGCAGTGCATTGCAAAGTTCGTTACTTCATGAAGCTGAGCAGCAGATTCCTTTTGAATCCACTGGATCCAAACGTGATTTACGGCGGATTTCTTAGATATCAATCCTTTTCAATACTAACACACAGCTGTTCCTCGAACAACGCTGCTTTTAATCAAATTCTCTATTGACTCTCGCCGGGGAGCACAACAACTCGGGAATTGGTCTGAGCGGTAGCAAGTATTAACTGCAAGCAAGCTGAAGCGCGGGGGAAGAATGAGGGCTGGAGATGGTGGTTTAGTTTCGGAAGGCCGTAACAGAGGGGAAAGATAGGAATTTTGGAAGAGGGGAGAGATATTGGCTGAAAAGAAGCTAAGACCTTTCGCATGGAGATAGGGATTTTGGAAACAAGGTGGGATTTGTGGGGGAGAGCCCCCCCCCCCCTCTCTATGAATTTAATTTTTCATGCTTAGCTTGGACCTTAAGAGAAGCAAACACTCTCGAATGCCGCACATAGAACTTTATTTAGATGGAAAACTTGGTGCTACGATTTTTTGCAGTTCGAGCAAAAACAAGAAAATGAGTGTATGTCATCCATGAGAGTCGAGCTGAATTTTAGTAATTGCCGTCACAGGGCTCCAGTCAGCTTAATTGCTGAGTCAGCATTTTGCTAACGATTTCACAGTCTTAATTTTGATCAGTCCATACACGTGATGTGGAGGTGCGTTAAAGCTGAATTTAAAATCTTTAGCTCACACAAAAACATAAAATTTCCCTGTGAAATTTCAGTTTCCTATCTTGTCTGGTTCCCGAAATTGTTTTTCCACCAAAAAATATTCGCATGTTTTCTTTTCGGCATCCGCGTGAGATCCAGACGTATGTGTGTGCAATAATTTTAGAATGGAAGGGTCGCACATGGTACATGCCCCACATATAGACAATTTTTATTGACAATATGTGTTTTTGCATTTGCATAAATA